AAGGAAGCCCAAAATCCAGCTCCAGTAGTACAGCTCCTGGATTCCGGGAATCTTGTCTTAAGGAATGGAAATGAATTGGAAAATTCTGGAAGATACTTGTTGGCAGAGTTTGATTATCCAACTGATACATTTACTAGGCAGGAATGAAGATCGGCTAGAGAAATTGAAGCCCCAAACATAGTATGCGTCTTGTATCATGGGAAAAAGCTGGGATATCCGCGCCTGGGGGACTTTGTTTGGGACCTAGGAGTTACTTACATGATATTGTTGAAATCAGCTACAGGAAAGGGCTCCAGTATCTTGTTTCGATCAGGGCCATGGAATGGCGTTACATTTTAGTGGTCTACCCACCAATTTTTACGCCAGCCAGGTTTATGATCCAAAGTTTGCGCGTCGTAATGGAAGAGGAAAGTTTACTATTTATTCTACCAAAAGGCGATACCAGTCTAACCATACAGGCCTGTACTGAACCAACCAGCAATAGAACCTTGAGTTGCTATTATGGATCAAACTTCTCAATCTGGCATCGGCCAGTTTTCTAATTATTCCATTCCGATCACTGTGCATTCTTTCATGACATTTTGGTAGCTTGGAATTTTAAAAACTTCTATCAACACCAGATCTTGGTCACTGTTTTGAAAGGATTCAGTCCTAAATCGCCGGGAGAAACTGGTACTCAAAGGATTTTCTCAAGGGTGTGTCCGTAACAATTCATGAACTGCAGCAGTGACGGTTTTATCAAATTCACAGGGTTAAATTTACCAGATATTAGAGATACTTGGGCAAATGAAAGTCATGAACGCTCAATGATGCAGAGCTTTAATGTCTTACAGAAACTGTTCATGCACTTCATATTCAAGCTATGATATTAGGAAATGGAGCTAACGGTTGTATCATTTGGTAAATTGATTTGATTGATATCAGAGAAATCCTGTTAATGGGACAGGATCTATACATTCGAACGTCTTGCTTCTGAATTTGGGCTAAAAATCTTAGTTTTTTATTTTTGACTTTCCAACCTTCTTTTGCACGTTTTCCAGGTATATTCTGCTATGTATATTTATTTTGATTATCAAAGCCTGTCTTATAGTTTTATTTGACTTGGTTTTTTGTTCCCATTGAATTTCAAAAGTGGTTTAGAGATGTGGGAGGTAATCAGAACAAGAAGATGTGGTGATTAATCATCCCTTCTGTTTATTGAAACTTCTGGAATCCTGCAGTCGCTATCTATAACTTTCAAAAAGCCGGAAAAAACTAAAAAGGTAAAAAAGTAATGCATTAGCTACTGTGGACTTTTTTTGGAAAGGCTTGAATTTTTAGAGGATTGCAAATGACAATCTCTTTGCTTTAGGAAAAAATAATAAAATACCAAGACAAAAATCAAAGAATCCCAACGAGGAACTGGAGCTCATTATTTGACTTTCCCACAATAATCACATTGCAAAACAACAAATTTTCCGTTCGCCAAGTAAGCTGGGACAAGGTGGTTTTGGGAACTGCTATACAGGGTAGTAAGCCTAAATCTGTTAGCAAAAATGAATGTACGAACCTAAAAAAAACTCTGTTCCTTTAAACTTTCAACCGGATGATTTTCCTAAGGGGAATACTATCAGATGGAAAGAGATTGCTGTTAAGAGGTTTATCAAAGCCAATTCTGCGACAAGGATTAATCGAGTTCCAAAATGAAAGTTTAAAATTTGATTGCCGAAGCTTTCAGGGCATCGAAATCTTGTTAAAGCTTGATGGTTGTTGCTGTTAAGGGAGATGAGAGATCTTTCTGATCGTATGGACTTTTACACTGCAAACAAAAGTCTAAGACTACTTCATTTTTTGGTATGGGATTGCCTCAAATAACCGATTAATTCTTTATTTGTTATGAAATTCTTATAATTGTTTTCCCTGTCTCTTAAAATGGAAAAACTTGAAACTGAATTGCAGATCGAACGAGAGGAAAAACTATTAGATGGTCCAAAGCGTTTCAAAGATTGTGTGTGAATTGCTAGGGGGCTTCTCTATCTTCATTCAAGATTCAAGATTAAAGAAATTATACCACAGAGTCTTAAAACCAAGTAACGTATTACTTGACAATGACGATGAACCCAAAAATTTCAGGATTTGGCATGGCCAGAAACTTTTGGAGGAGACCAGACTGAAAGGGAAATTACCAGGAAGGGTGTGGCACATAGTAAAGTGTTGCAGTCATTTTCCCAAAGTTCTATATGATAATTACTTCCTTGTGTGAATGTGTTTCAGCTGGTAATTGTTTTGCAAGCGGTTTATAGGCGGGCCAGAGTATTCCAGGCGAGTGGGCTATTTCAGTTAAATCTGAGTTTTTAGCTTTGGTAATCCTGATGCGTAGAGATAAACAAAACTGGGGAAGAAAAGTCGTGGATTTTCATCACCCAGACCATATTGTTATGTAAGGTTTCGGATGGCCATATTTGGTCCACTCCAAAAATTTAAAAAAGTTAAAACTTAAAAATAGGATTGAATTGACTTAATATTCATTTTCATTTTCAATTTTTGAAAACCTGAGAAACTGAACTTATTTGGTCTTAAATTTCGTTTTTTATTATTATTTTATTTTTTTTTTTTTTGGTGAAATGGTTTTAAATTTTCTTGTATTTGTCAAAAACGATAGTATGTGTGGTGTTGCATTTTCAGGCATGGAAGATTGTGGATTGGAATTGAAGGAAAGTGTATTGGAATTGGTTGGAACCAATTTTTAATGGAGCCATGCAATTTAATCAGGAAGTGAAAGCGATTGCATTCCATATCAAAAGCCCATGCAAATGTATTGGAAAATGTATTTTGCTTTTTCTTACTTTTTCTGTTCATTAATCTATTCGATGAACTCAGGGGACAAAAACAAGTTCAATTTGATTATCTTACTTCAACTTGACTTTTTTTTTTTTTTTTTTTTTTTTTTTTTTTTTTTTTTTTTTTTTCTTTCATTTGAATATTTCTACTTTCAAACTTGAACTTTTTTCTATTTGACTTTTCCAAAAAGCGAAATGCAACATAACCTGCTCACCCCGGCCATTCTAAAATTTTGAAAGGATAAAGCTTCATTTAGCTTTTCACACAAAAACCCAGATGGAACTTGGGGAGCCCTAAAAAAAAGTTCCTTAGAAGAAATCAGAACTATAGTCAACCCATTTTTTATTTTCTAAATAGGAACTAAAACTGTTTGTAATGGTTGTGGATGAAGAGTGGTCATCTCTCTCTT